GACAGAGGAGAGAGTTGAATGTCTTGAACAGTGAACGTGTTTTAGAGGCGCTGTTGATCTTGTTGTGGAAATATGAAGATTTTACGGCGTGAACATCAACAGAAAAGGCAGAGAGCAGAGATTGATACCTACTGAGGTCAGATGTGTCTTTTGATTTGCGCCATTTCCTCTCCGTTGCCCTGAGTTCGGTCCGGTGTTCACGAAGAACCTCAGATAACCAGGGGTTAGAGAAGAAAACTGGAAACACGAGTTGCCATCGCAGTAGGTCACTGGTCTCTGCAACCTTGTTTATCACCCCATCAGAGTCCAAGGACATCAGAATGTCTTTCTCTGTTGACATAAGCATAGATGCTTCCAAGTGCTCTTGGGTTAGAGTACTCCTAAGTCTGTTTTTAACAAACTTAAGGGTGGAAAAGCTCCTCTCGCAGGCCACTTGAGTGGTCGATAACGTCAACAGAAATTTGTAGGCCAGTCCAATGACATGGTATGCATCTGTCAACAGATTGTATTGTGCCAGCTCTGGTCAGATACACTCAAATGGCACAGTTTTTACACATACAGACATTCTTTTTAACCAGCTCTGGTCCTTCCACATCATATGTGTCTTCATTACCACTGCCTTCAGATGCATCATCCGCATCATCTTCTGTGTATGTCCTCAACTTGTATTCTTTCAGAGGGGACAGTTTCAGTCTTTCCCACTGTCTGGCAAGGCTTAACAGCTCAGCCTGCAAAGTTCCAGCAGTGGCTTGAAATTTGAATCAAATTTCAGCAAACAGTTGCTGAGGTTTTGCATCGCTGATCGAATGAGACCCCTTTCCCTTATCTCAGGGAAGTTTTTTGGGTCAAGGCAGGCAAAATCAGTGCAGAGTTTTCCACTTGCAGCAAAGCGCTGGTGAATACTCTCCGTCACAGTGTCCATTATTACATTATAAACTCTGACCTCAAAGTCTCTCTCAGCTGCTGCAAGTGGTTCATCTTCTGCCAACTCTCCTGGCATGGTCTTCTTCTTTCTCACCCGTTTTCAGGTAGGGCTATACCTGCACCATCATCTCACAGTCCTTTTCCAGACGCTCGTCATTGGCCCACTCCACAAATTGGCTCGCAGCTTTTTGGGCCCCACTGAAATCCCTCACACACTTCTTTAAACCATCTGCCGTGCCCTCAGCCAGACGCTGTGCTGTGAGTAGATCCATCCCGCTTGTCTGGAGATATTTTGATAAGGGTCCAGTGTGCTCAAAAACCCGAAGAAAAGTTTGAGCTGTGAGAATGGTCTCGTATTTCAGGAGGCCCTCCATGAATCCTGTAGCCTTGACCCTGCATTGTTTTGTCTTCTACGATCGCTGCTAATGTCAAGATCAGGTCAATGAACATGGCACTCTCAGGCTTTCCGAAACACCCAAACACCTTTCTCAGAGCAGCATCCTTTGCCCACCATTGTGTTTGCCCAATTGGACAAAGTCTTCTTTGACGGTTCCTGGATTCTGCAGTTATCTCGTGCCACTTCTGCATCCGTTTATACAACTTGTGTAGGAAGACAGCAACATAATTTAGTAATCCGAACAGTGATGCACTCTGTAGTACAATGCCTGTTGTGTCCGACAACATTAAGTTCAGAATGTGTGCATAGCACCATACATGAATTTGGTTAGGGGCCTGCTCACTGAGAAAGGCGGAAACACCTTTGGCCCTGCATGTTGGCTGCACCATCCGTTGCACTGCATACACAACATGTCTAGATTGAGTTTTTGAAGAATATTTTTCAGCAGTTCCACAAAATACTGCCCAGTAGAGGCCTCACAGTCAACCACAGCAACCGATGTCTCATGAATTGCATCTGCCACATATCTGAGGATTACAGAGCACTGATCATTGTATGTTATGTCCTGTGCGGTGTCAATTTGGACAGAAAACATCCCAGCTGCTCTGACTTCATTGGCAACTGTTTCTTTATTTAACTGGCTGATAATTGTGATGATTTTGTCCACTGTGTCTTTTGAGAGAAGAGTGACAAGTGACCCTCTGCCTTTCCCCCCAGCCTCATGTTGTTTCTTACTTTTTTTCAATGCACTCTGTGACATGCTGTTGCATGCAGGAGTCATATCTACTCAGGAAAAGTATCAATTCAAAGAAGTTGCCATGGTCAATAGTGTTATTTTTAAGGGTGTAGGCAGATTCTGATTTTGATCCCCTGTAACTGAGACCACGCTCTCCGCACACTTTCACGGCATTAACAACACGCTCCATCACCTGCCGTTTAATTTTCACTTCTTGTCGATGTAATGAGAGCTGGTTTCCACTTATTCTACTCACAATGTCTCCTTTACTTGCCATCAGGAAATACGCCTCTGCACAGTCCCTATGCACTTTACTTTTTCATGCTCCTCAATCCTCTGATGTACATGCTTCCACGCTTGCATGCCTCCTCTGACAAAAGGACTGTCTGATACAGTGGGCTTTGAAAAAGCGAGGCAAACAGTGCAATAAAGTGCATGACTTGCTTCACAATATGTCAGCCACTTACGATTGAGCCCATCTTTTGTGTAAAATATATTTGGTAGGGCTCTTTTTGGGGTTTGTTGGGGGTGGAACTGCAAAAATAAACTGAGGTCTTTGGACTGTGGGCGGGCAAAATAATTAAAGCTTTCCTCATTCACTTCATGATATTTTCGGCTTCCTTCCATATTCTTCTTTCCTGTTTCAGTCTCTACACTTTCTGTATCCATCTCAGCTGTTTCAGTCTCTACGCTTTCAAAGTCCTCAGTTGTTTCAGTCTCTATTCTGGACCCTGAGGTAGAAGCGTCTCTGTCCCTTGCAATGCTTGACAGATCATCTTCATCTACATCTGCTTTAAATGATATAAAATAAAAACAGCTAGGTATCATCAACAGTATTACTACTACTGTAACTTCATTGAGTAACACAATATTTAAACAATAGTTGTTTGAGAGTAATTGACCATAAGGATGTTATGATACAACACAATTCAGATTTTTTCTACTTTAGCACACCTTTACCTATATCTCTCCATATGCTACATTCATTAATTTTACTTTTCACAAGCAAAATATAAGATTGCAGAAGTGCATTGACACAAATTTTTCATCAATGCACTTCTGCAATATTCTATTTTGCTCATGAACTACATTCTACCCTATTGCACTCATAAATAACATTGTGCAATGTGCACACCTGTGACTGTAGCTGTGGTTTCTCCTGCTAGCCCTGTCTCGTCACCAGTTTCATCACTGTGCTGAGTCTGACTGAGTCTGACTGAGTCTGATACTGTGGGAGGTAAAAGAACAGGGACAGGACATACGCTTGTGTGATAGAACTCCACATGCAACGGCCATGTCGTGAATAGACCCTTTTCACATTTCCGGGTTTCTCTGAAGTGGAAGTCGTCATAGTTGTGTTAAATTCTATAGCGGTGAATGAGAGAACATATTAAATATGTTTTGTGTTCCCATTTGCTCAAATAGAAAAAGAAAAACTCCTCTATAGTGTTTTCACAACTTTCAAAGAGAGGAAGAAAATAGCGAGAGATTGATAATAACGGCAGTCAGAAGAGAGAAATGTCAATTTGTCATCACTCCCACAGCCACTGTATTAGAAACCCCCTCACAGCAGCATTAACTATTTTTTTGTAATTTGATACAAAGGTAATATAATAAATAAAGTATACTTTATTTTTCAAAATGAAAATATAAAAAACTTAGCAGGATTTACGATGCTGACGATGATTAAAATGCGTCTGTTGAAAAGGGTCCATTTTCACGTTCACGGTCACCTAGCTCGAACGTGCATTAGCTTCTGCTAGTGTTAGCGTCATAATCCTTATACACTTAACATAGCAGCAGCCAAGGAAAGTTACTCATTTTAAAACTAGGAACATCTGCCAACCACTTAAGGACAAATTCAAGAGCCACTCAATAGTAAACCATTAATGTGTCTCATATTTACAATTACTACCGAAATAAGCTACTTTCAAATTCAGGCTATGCCTTTTGGGGAGGGGCCCGCCCGCCCCACCCGCCCCACCCACTCGCCCCGCCCGCTCGCCCCGCCCGCTCACTGACTGATCCCCTTTATTTTTGAAAAACCTAGACATGGTTGGACCTGCTTTCTGATTAGCCTGTGTTTCTATTGAAATAAGAGTCTGTTGCGGCCCGCCGTACGGGTTGAGAAGAGAGGCTGCACAGTTTGACCAGCGGGCAGCGGCCGCATAACAGGCCGCCGGATGGTGTTGCTAAGAACTGCAATGTATAACTATGATCAGACCGGCCCTCTCGCGGCCTCGAAACACCACCGGCCCACCGGGAAAAGTCCCGACTCTCCCGATTGCCACTCTGCTACTGGTTCTTGTGTTTCTGCTCATCTCTTTTTCTGTTCTCTTCTTTCCTTCAGTGATTCTGCTTGTTAACAGGCAGAATCACTGAAGGAAATCACTTTCCTTGTGTCCATGGTAAGGCTGAGATGACTCCATATTTAATATAAACAGATTTTGTGGCTCAGATAAGGTCCAGTTCTGGTTTATTTATTTGCTCTTGCATGCACACATGCATACATTTGGCATTGCTATGGCCTGCTTGTGGCCCAGATCTGGCAAACAGGAGTGAGCCACCCAAGGGCCGTCATTCCACGCTGCATGTGGGCCAGATCATCTTTTCACGTGTGCCAGATGTGGTCCGGATCTGGGACGTCAATATGTTGCTATGTGGGTAATGGAAACGCAGCTAATATAATCTTCAGAAAGGCTCACTGCAAAACCTTTATCAGTAATGCACTGACTGACAGCCTGTGCAACACGCAAACACATAAAGCATCCAAAAAATTTAAATCTCTCATTGCTGTTCAGTATCAGCACCATTGGAATGCTGTTTGGGCAATCAAAATCAAGGCCCAAAACTGTCCATGGTAGCCCAGGTGAGTTTTAACAAAGTCTCTTTCAAGGCAAGTCACTGCCTTATTCTTCATGTTGCTTGCCACAATATACTCACCTCCCCCTTTGGATAGCGGTACCGGTATTTGTCTTGGTCTCTGAGTGCAAACTCCTCAGGAAAGTGATCTTGAATCTCTTCGTACATCATCTCCTCACACACACCCTGCACATGAACACATGCACTTCATGACAAATATATATAATTCAAAATCAAACACACTCTGCAAAAGAACCAAAAGAAAATGGCAACTGTGGCTTTTGCCCAGTGGGCACTTCGGTCAATCTCATATCTGCAACTAGAAACAGGACTAGACTCACAGCATCAATCTCATTCAGTGCTTTCCATTGCTCATATGGCACTCCAATCGCCTCCGCAGTCTGGATTGTTCTCCTCATGTGACTGGTCCAGATCTTCAGGTCCAGGATGTACTGACCCCTGATGTATGTCCCTAGAGCAGCAGCAAACTGACACAAATAAAAAAACTGTGTCCCAAATCATAGTATGTTGAAATAAGTATTTCAAAGATACCCTGATTGTCTAAGATTTCCAGGGGGAATTCTGAGTGCAGATCAATGCACACTCTACAGGCCAACAACCCCCTGCGCTTTGGAGGAGGCATTCGGTTAAGAACTACAAACACAAAAAAAACTGCAAACATTGCAGATATATGAGTCTGAAGTAGAGAGGTTTAGACAAAGGGGTTTGAGTGATTAATAATCAGAATCTAACCTAATGAAAAACATTATTTTAATCTGCAAAAAACATTGTGAACTTTAATAAAGACATTTTTGGCTTTTAAATTTTTAAATGCATCATTATGCAAAAACATGAGTAGAATTCTCCACATTAAAGACCCTCAACTGGAAGATCAATGTGCAATGTATTTTATTTTATTTTATTTTTTATTCGGTTTATTATAACTGAATTGTGGTTCGGTTATAATAAACAGTAATAATAATTACTTAAAACATCATCAATCCAGGATTCATTCAAAGCCTGAAAATTCTGCTTCTACACTCTTTCCATTATTTTAGATTTTAGATAAGATTTACGCTAACCTTCTTTCCTTGTGCAGAGAGACCGGAATCACCTCCGATACGCCCCGAAACATTGAGTTCACTCTCTCCATGACGACAGAGGTAGATAGTGCGAGGGGTGACATGGATGTTCATCAGGTAGTAGACGATCCTGCTCTGAATATGATCCTGAACCTGATTCACCAGGTATCTGCTGCCCACGTTAAAGATCTTAATGTATGACAGGTTCCTGTGGACACACAGAGACAGGGCAATAATGATGAGGACTTCCACTACATTCATGTCAACAGATGTTTGTCAAATTCATTCTGCACTGTTAACCCTTGCTGTAAAAAATGGCCAAATTCTGACAGTATCATACCGTTTTCAGTTAAAACAGTAATATACCGTAGAAAACAGACCATTCTGGGAAATATTTGTTGTTTTCGAGAAAATAGCCTACAGGAATATACTGTGAGTTAACAGCGCTCAAAGTCGACACTCAGCGGCTGTGCTCCAAATCACACCCTATACCCTCATTCACTATTCCCTACATTAGTTCACTAATATAGTGCACTTGTGAGAGTGAATGAAAAGAAGTGAGTGAATTCAGACACTGATAAACACATGATAAGAAGAATCACTGAAGGACAGAGAAACAAGAATATAAAAAAGAGAAACACAAGAACTACAACTGACTTCCAGCCACACTGAGTGTGAAACCAGTTTACAAACCAGTTTAACATTATTTCTTTCATACTTGTACAAAAGTTCTTGTTGAGAATTAACAGAGTTGTTGATGTTTTATTGAAAATAATAAACATTGTCTAGTCACCATGATGGCGATCAGTGTTTGCTTTAGTTGGGCTCTTGACTCTTTAACATTAGTTTCTCTCTGTCTGCTGTAACTGTTTTTATAAAGCACATTTGTTATGGCAAGAAAAATCCAAGAGGAGGTTAATCAGGTGTTTATAACTGTTGTGATGATGAAGTTCTGATCATTTTATTTACTCGGATCTTTGAGTCTCGTTCAGCAAAATGAACGAATCTTTTTTCGAGTCATTTTGTTCATTTCATTCAGTTCAGCATAATATAATTAAAATGGCATGTTAAATATCCCAACACATCTAGTACTTACTTAAAAAGAATAAAAATAAACTATAGGGTAATGCAGCCAAAGCCAAATTATAAGAAACCGAAATGTTTTATTAATTGATTAGTTGTTGGGTCTTAAGTTCAGGCTATTGTAGTCTGTTAGTTCACCTCACCTTCCGGATCCGAGACGTTCTTACCTTTGCAACTTCATATTTATCAGGTTTGTTCTCCTCCTCTCGTGTCTCGAGACGTTAGTTGTCGACTCGTCAGTGTCTGACTCTGATCTGTGCTGTCTGCTGGGCCGTGCCGTGTGTGATACAGCAGGGCCGGAAGAGAACTGATTAGTTCATCTTTCGAGTCTCGAGTTCGGGTTCGGCCGGGTCTTTCGTTCTTCCTGTCAGTCCCATAGAGGCTATGCTGTCAGTACCGGAAAGAGGAATGATTACTAGTTCATTTTCTTCGAGTCTTCGGGTTTTGAGTCCTTCATTCTTTTGTCATGTGACCGCTGGTATCTCGCATCAAATACAACATTAGATTCGTATTATTGACTTTGTCTGAATGTATATTGTTTTATATTTAGGAATTAAAATACAAAATATGTGCAATAAACATTATCTGAAAAATTATTGTCCCTGTCCATCTCTTTTCTTTCTCTCTTTTCAGATGTTTCTTGTATGCATCTGTGGTGTGTTTTATTATATATTATACATTCATTAACTACATATTATACATTAACTACGTGCTTGTTTGTAAAAAGGTTGTGAATTAGTAGGATATTCAATACTGTGACAAGTCACGTGACAAAAGAACGAACGACTCAAACCCGAAGACTCGAAAAAAATGAACTAATCATTTCTCTTTCCGGTACTGACAGCATGGCCTCTATGGGACTGACAGGAAGAACGAAAGACTCGGACCCGTCTGAACCCGAACTCGAGACTCGAAAGATGAACCAATCATTTCACTTTCCGGTACTGACAGCATAGTATGGGACTGACAGGAAGAACAAAAGACTCGGACCTGTCCCAAACCCGAAGACTCGAGAGAGAGATGAACTAATCATTTCTGTTTCCAGTACAGATTCAGAACCCATATGTTGCGCAATGCGCATGCGCGGTCAACACAAAATGAACCAATCACTCTCTGAGACAACTCGGTAGTCCCGAGTCATATTAAAGATTCGTTCAAAATGAACGATTCGTTCATGAACGACACATCACTAGACATGATCATCCTGGACGTGTATTTTTTGCTGATCTCATCCTGTGTATAAGTTCTAAATATATGGATATTAAATATTTATTAATCATATATCTATGAATCTACAGCATGTGATCCAGCAATGTTTCTGTAATCAGTTATTCAGAAGGATATTGAAACCATGTAGTACATTAAAACATTTTGAACTCCTGCTTGACTTTTGTCATCATCATCAATATAACAAACTGCATTCACAAACCGTGTGTGTGTGTACAAGTGTGGCTTGCAAAAACACAGGTTAGAAACTAAAGCAAACACTGATCTCCATAATGGTAACTTCAAACCAAACATGTTCAATTAAACATCAATAACAACTTCTGTAGATGTATGACAGAAATAAAGCCATACTGCCATAATAAGTGTAATAATGTGTAATGGCTGGAAGTCAGTTGTAGTTCTTGTGTTTTTCTATTTTCTGTTCTTGTGTTCCTCTTTCCTTCAGTGATTCTGCTTGTTAACAGCAGGTGTTCATCACTAATGCTCAACAATCACCTACATATTCACTGAATTATATCACTGCAACACTGCGTCAATGTTACTTTTACTCTTTGTAGTGTGGATTTTCCTGTGGGTTGAAAGGGTTAACAGTGTAAGATAAAAAGACACGCCCACGAAATGTATTTTAACAGTGATAAACTGTAAGTTATAAAACACTGTTGTCAGTAATTCCAAATTGCCTTTTTTTTTTTTTTTTTTGTCTGTCACCATTGTGCTTAAGAGTAGAGCCTGTGCTTCAGTCCAGGGGAAGATATATAAACATTATACTGCATGGTGCATTTTTTTTGTGGTTTCAAATGAAATAAGCTCACAGTAATACTTTGCTCACATTATAAGTGCATTACAAATATTAGTTAATACATTTAAATGACAGTTGGTCAAGTTAAGGCAGTCGGTTTCTGCAAATAAAATTAGTTAACTCGAGTTTTAATTTAGTGTATTTTTACAGTAACATACTGTAAATTAGTGTGTTGCAGGTATTTTACTGTAAAAAAAGCCTGGTGAATAACAGTGTGGGCGACAGTGTTTCACCTGTCTTTGTCATCATCTAAAGGAACATATGCGAGTTTGTAGCAGTCTATTCTCTTGAGGAAGTCAGTCACAGCCTCCTCTTTATCACAGTCAACGTAATCAGGACTGCTCAGCTTCACTTGCTGCAGATACAGACAGAAAACAAAGGTCTTTTACAGGATGTAGAGTGTGCACAAACATATATTCCAATACAGACAAGCTCCTACAAACTGTCAAGAAATTACCAGATAATAGTTTAATAATTATGCTGCTCAATAATCCTTAAACAAGAAATAAATATATTTTTTAAACACATCATGAAATAAATCGTATTACCTTGATGTTTTCTGCAATGATTTCTGGGTCATCACAAAGAGACTCAATAAAAAAGACCTACAAGAAGGATAATTTAATTTAAATTTAAAAATGATATATTGTAGAGATATTTTTTAATTCATTTCTAAAGATGAAGTATTCATTTTGATGAATATTAACTCATCAATTCACCTGTTTCACTCACTTTATAGCCGTTCTCTTTAGCAAAGGTGAGAATCACCTCTCTACGTTCTCTTGTTGTGTTGGTCGCATCAAACACCTGTAAGAAATTTCATTTCCAAAACTGGCTTGATTATCATAGAGAAGTCATTGCACCATTTGAGTGAATCACATCCCAAGTAAATGGTCATCAATTGTAGAATGGGAGTGGGTGTGACCTTCATTAACATACAGACCACATCGGTTACAACAGGAGAAAATTCATTTACATTAGGGTAGTAACTGTATAAAAGGTTTATAGGATGAGCTATTCTATAAGACACACACAAATTATTCATTATATTTAAGGAATAATCCAGCAAAATCACTCTCCCAACAAAGTTCTGTGACTCATCTGCTGAAAACTGCAACTATCATCCCAAATGATGTAACACACACGCAGAACCAGGTCTCTGGTTACAGGACACATGAATACTGATAAGGTTTATGACCAGAAGGAATTTGCAGAGAGTTGTGACTCTCACTTAATTCTTGTTGAGAAGGACAAAAAACAAACCCTTTTAATCCTATATATTCTATATATAACCACTTGAGAAATGTATAAACATGTATCCAATTTTCCCATCTCATGATTTTCCTTTGATGGGGTTTGGCCTATGTGTTCATTCTCTCTTTTAAACTCTTTCCAGACTTGCATACTGGTTAACCAAAATCACATGTGTAGTATGTTTGGTCTTATGAGCTCATATGACTGTTTGATTTTGTTTAGTGAGCAATATGAGTACTTTATGTGTTATGTGTTATAATTGAGTGTGTTGGTAACGTTTGTAATGTATTTAATTCAGCATGTTTGTTACCTTTTTGTACTCAAGTTTGTAACAGTATTAATCTATGCTGTTGATATACAACTATATTGTTGTTAGATCTTTGCCTTGTGTGTTTGAGAATGCTCATTTATTTGATGATTTATCTATTTTGTGAAATTCATGCTTGTGTATTTTCTCTACTTTGTAGTTTCACACTTTTCATGATTAAACTTCCTAAATTGCACCTTTGTGGAGTTTATTATGGAAGTGTTTAGCGGCTGGATAGCTGGATCATTATTAAAAGTGAGGCCAGTGACAAGAACTAAAAGCTGATGGTTTGCTCAAGGCTGTTGATCTGCTGAATTTCAAACAATGCTATAACTTCTTGTTTTCCTGTATTCTGCTTCAGCTCTCTTTCCATTGCTAAACTGAATGTGTATGTGTATGTTAGAGCAGTTTAAGTGTTTAGTCTATAAAGTCTTGTTCATGTCACACGTAAAGTTGTGCGTGTTTCATGCTCATATACTGAAGTCCCTAATCATGCAGATTTTGACTACATGGTCTGAGTAGTACTGTACAGAAAGAAAGTTATTTCCCATAACCCGGAGATTAACATTTCTTAAAATTTATAAATAGTTAATATTGCTAAGGATTAATCGCTGGACGAACAGGTTAGTTGATTGTGGTATTAACTCTGCTACATCAAGTTAGTTCATACAAATATTCATAATTAATTATACAATAACAAGTTATGATTAATTATTAATATTTCCCTTGAGCTAATTTGCTACAGGATGTTCAGGGTTCGTTCTGACTCCGATGAACCCAAGGTACTTCACTTTGTCACTGCTACGCTGCAATAAACTTCTTCATCAAGAGCTTAGGTGCGAGGTCTGAGCTCAATACCCTCACATTTTACTTTGCTTTGAATTGCTGGCCCCGGGTAGCCTGGGAAAACCCAGACAACTTCCGGCAAATTTAGATTTTAGGTCTATCCGCGACGTCCGTTGGTGACGCCCCTCTGGAAATGATTTGTCTATGACGCTTTGCCAGACCATAACTCAGTTACAACTGAGAATGGTCTGGTTTTAACCAGGCTAGGCCCCGGGACTGGAAGCAGAGCTAACTGGAGACCCCAGCTTTTCCGCATCCGCTAGGAACTTCCAAATTGGAAGGGAGACCAAAGTACTGACACCAACCATTCCCTGACCTCAGTCATATAAGCTCTAAAGGGCAATAAAACCAAGGGGAGCACATATTTAAGCATTGAGCCATAATAATATACTGAAAAATATATTAAATAATATATTGAGTTCATACAGCCATCGGCACTAATCCTCAACAAACCCGTCTTTGTACAGGAACAGACTCCGATCTTCAACCAGAGGGAACTGGATTAATATTCTGAATGTTCTGATCCAATCTGACTTCTGACCTGTAATGTTGCCTGAATCATAATCATACACTGTTCGTTCGTAGGCCAGAGGAGAACTGGCCCACGACTGAGCCTGGGTTCTCCAAAGGCTTTGCTTAGTTGGGGATATTTAATTTAATATTCAACAATAATATTAATCTGACTGCATTGACACCATTATATGAGAACTGAACTGAGCTGGATGATGACATCACGGTTTTCTCCAGAGCGGCTATATATACGGTATAAATGAACTAAAGTAATAACTTTAAAAAAAAAAAAAAAAATGAACCATCACTGAACTTACTTAAGCTGGACTGTGACACTATTTTCTTCAAGACACAAACGTTGTTGCATTATTTTCCTGTTATCTCTGTAAAGCTGCTTTGAAACAATCTGTAAAAAGCGCTATATAAATAAATGTGACTTGACTTGACTATAATGTGTTATATATTACAATATATTGAATAATACTAATTGCCACTTTACATATATTGAAAAATGTATTTACAATATATTTACACTGTAAAATGTAATTAGTTGAGTGTCCTTAGAAAACATGAAAAAAATGCCTTAAGGATCAAGGATGTTTTACTCAAAATCGTAAGTTTCTAAAATAAAAACATACAAAAAGTGAAAAAAGGTGTCAAGAGAATGACAGACTTTAAGAAAGAAACCCTTTAAAGCCCAACAGAACATTAAACACTAACAGATCTCTCAAGATCTCAGCAGAGGAGGGTTAAACACCAAAAACAGCTTTACCAGCTTCACTTATTACTAACAGTTTGACTTTATTTCTGCCAGACGTCTACAGGAGTTCTTATTGAGAATTAAAAGAGATGTTGATGATTTATTGAAAATAATATTATTTTACAGTCACCATTATGGCGATAAATGTTTGCTTTAGTTGGGAAACAACTTAAGCTATTCTTACAAGAATAAAAGCTTATAAAGACACTATTATTTGCTTTTTCAATTTCAGCCTCACCATAATTAAAGTTTATTTTTTCTGCCACATTATATATGTTAGTTATTTTAAATTTAAATAATATTCACAATATTACTATTTTGTCTATGTTTTTAATAAAATAAACAGCCTTGGTGAGCATAAAACAATTCAAAAACATTTAAAAAATGTAAAATATTTCCAACTTTTTGGCTGGTTGTGTATAAAACATTATGCATTAATCAGAAACTACTGTGATAATACTTATGGCCTTACCAGCTGCTAATTGTTCAGATAAAGTTAAGTTTCTAATCACAGCTCTTCTAAATTCATCAAGATCTGTAGAAACGTCAGTAACTATTGTCCGTGTTCAGATGAGCATGTGTGTGTGTGTGCTTGTCACTTACTGCAACTTGTCCATGATCCCGAGTGAAGTAACAACAAACGTCTTTCAATGCCGCCAGAGCACACGCTCTAAAGCACACAATTTACGAGAAAAAGAAAACAAAAATACAATAACAAACACACACACAAAAAACATTTACAATATAATTTGTTAGTTCTTGTGCTCAATCATATGATTATCCATATGGTGTTCAATGAGTACTGATATAGGGCGAATTGAGCAAATGAGCATCCCTATGCCTACATAGGGCACTACAAAGGGCAGACACTTTCTGCAGGTTACATCACATTACTGACTGTTTTTATGAGTGAGTCAGTCACAGTATTTGGAAAATATATGTACAATATATTTATAGAGCAAAATGTCATTACACGAGTGTATTTTAGTGTCTTATAGTGTATTAGACTTATGGTAACACTTTAGAATACGGTTCCTTCGTTAACGAATAACTACACAGGAACAAATGAGTAACACAATATTAACAATCTAGTAACTACTATTAACTAACAAGGAATTCTGATTAACGAATTAGTAAGTAATAGCGCACAGATGAAAGTGGTAGTTCACTATTAACTAATTGATAACTACTATTTTTTTATGCTTCCCAGAGAACTACTGAAGAAGATTAATAGTTAATGCAAAACTAATCAATAACTATTCAGGACAAATGACTAGTACTACATTAACATTAATAACTGCTTCTGTAAACAAATACACAAGGTTTATCAATATGTAATAGCATAGCAGACTTATGATTTGGGAAATAATTAGCCTATGCTCTCTCCTAGAGAACTATTTATCAACTGAATAATTTTAAAGAAATGGCTTTTTAAATGCAGTTGTCGGGACCTTACTTGTCCTGTAGTGATTCAATGCCAGTCCAGAGGAATGCCAGAAAATTGGCCAGAGTCACGGTGACGGCTGGAACATATTGAGTAACATTATCGATTATCGATATTGAGAACATATCGGCCATCCAAATATCATATACAGTGATTTTATTATTTAACCTATACCTCGCAAAAAAAAAAAAAAGAAGATTTTATTAATGTCTCCTACCTCATACGTGTGTGCAAATATCTTGTGAAGGATTAGACGATTCTACACTTTAGGATTGGCTTTTCATGTAATAATCATGATAACTAACTAGTAATGACTTAAGTGTTACTACATACTTCTAAAGGAATGACTAATTATTTGGATTCGTATTCTAAAGTGGAGATCATGGTAACTAACTAGTAATTACTCAAGTGTTACTACATAGTTCTAAAGGAATTACTAATTATTTGGATCTGTATTCTAAAGTGAAGATCATGGTAACTAACTAGTAATTACTCAAGTGTTACTACATACTTCTATGGGAATTACTATCTAAAACTTCACCAAAAACCTCAAAAGCTTAAAAGAATGAGTAATTCCTTTAGAAGTATGTAGTAACACTTGAGTAATTACTAGTTAGTTACCATGATCTTCACTTTAGAATACGGATCCAAATAATTAGTCATTCCTTTAGAAGTATGTAGTAACACTTGAGTCATTACTAGTTAGTTACCATGATTCTTACAGTAGTTCTCTGGGAAGAATAAAAAAAAAGTAGTTATTGATTAGTTAATAGTGAACTACCACTTTCATCTGTGCGCTGTTACTTATTAATTTGTTAATCAGAATTTCTTGTTAGTTAATAGTAGTTACTAGATTGTTAATATTGTGTTACTCATTTGTTCCTGTGTAGTTATTCATTAACGAAGGAACCGTATTCTAAAGTGTTACCAGACTTATTTCTAAGTACATGGACAGTAACGTGGAAAACGATTGCCTTAAATTTCTCTGGGATGTTTTACCCAAAGCTGTTTCTAATATAAAAACATACAAAAGAGAATCAGGACAATGATAAACTACTGTGACGGATCGTCTGCCTCTCCCTCGTAATCAGCGCCACCCCGTCCCTTAATTCGCCGCCCTTCGCCAGGTTCCCGACTGGAGTGGTTGTAATTGGAGAGGAGGGGCGCTGATGAGGAGAATTGGCGGCGTGTGATGAGGCACACCTGACGAGAATGAAGCCTCATCACCGCCGCCTGTTAAATGCTGAGCGCGCCTCTCCTCGGGAGACCGGTCTCTTCCCTGTGCGAGCACACTGTTGTACTCGTGGGTCCAGGAAGGGAGCGCGGAGGGATTCCCGCGCTGCCAGAGATGCAAGTCGCCGGACCCGCGGTCCGAGAACAGAAGACGCGTGACGCCGCTGACGGACCAGGACGCCAAAGCCGCCACTTCCCTCTGTTGTCGTGGCCGGGAGAGGACAGCTCGTGATGTGACGAAGCCGCCGCCCACTCATTCCTCGACCCAAGGAGACAGGGAAGACGCGTGTGACTGTCGGACACCGCCCCCTTACCTGGACCCATCCCACCTCTTCACTAACCTTCCTTCGCGATTCCCTGGCACAACGAGGACACCAGATCCCCTTTTATTTTAACACTTATTTCCCCCTTTTGGACATTTTATGTTTAATCAATTTAATAAATGCCTCTCCGAGGCTTGACACCACTCCCACTGTGTCTGTCGTTTGCTCTTCCCGCCACACTACACATTTAGTTTTATTTATTAAACTGAAAAAAAAAAACCCATCAACTTAAAAAAGTTAACAGACAACACTGCAATAGTTTAACATATTTTAGATAAAGCAACATCCAGCATATCATCAGTGTTTCTTGGTCTTCTGCTGGACTGAAGCACAGGCTCTACTCTTCAGCACAATGGTGACCTATAAAACTCACACAACAGAAACACTTTAAATCCCAACAGAACATTAAACACTAACAGATTTCTCAAGATCTCAGCAGAGGAGGGTTAAACACCAAAAACAGCTTTACCAGCTTCACTTATTACTAACAGTTCGACTTTATTTCTTCTACAGAAGTTCTTATTGAGAATTAACAGAGGTTTAGATGTTGATGATTTATTGAAAATAATATAATTTTACAGTCACTATTATGGTGATCAGTGTTTGCTATAGTTGGGCTATTGACTTTAGAGCTTTAGATTTCTTTGGCTGCTGTAACTGTGTTTTAATAAGGCACTGTTGTTATGGCTTAAAAAGTATTAAAAAATACTTAATACTTAAAAAATTATGTGGATAATCATTTGGGTATTTATTATTGGTGATGTCATACTCATAGTTAATTATACTGTGTCCTTGATCTCATGCCAAGGTTCATCACAAAAGTCTGTTACATCTTTCAATGCAGTTAAATGTATTATGAACATGGATACTATAGCAAGAGGTCAGCACTTTTGTGGTAATCTGATTTATTTTTTCAACGGTGATATGTTTCATGCTGCAATGCATTCTGGGAGCTACCATAGTATAAAAGTCATCCATGGTTCCCAGCATTGCATTGCAGCATTAAGCATTTCACCATTGTTGAGATTCATACGCTGATTCTCGATGTCTGTCTGTATCTAAATACAGCAGAAGTTCAAAATGTTATGTGCACAAGTATTAAAAAAGAGTATCTGATTACCACAACAGTGCTGATCCTCTTGTTATAGTATCGGTGTTCATTATATAATATTTAAACGCATTGAATGATTTAACAGAATTTTGTGATAAACCTTGGGATGAGATCTGGGACTCAGATATGCTGGATGTTGCTTTATCTAAAATACGTTAAACTATTGCAGTGATGTCTGTTAACTTTTTTTAAGATGATTTTATTTAGTTTTAGTTTAATAAATAGAAATAAATACACAGTCTGTCATTGTCTTGGCACTTTTTTCACTCTTTTGTGTGTTTTTATATTAGAATCGTACAACTTTGAGTAAAACATCCTTGAGAAATTTAAGGTAATCATTTTGCTCATGTTTTCCAAGTACACTCGTCTAATGATATTCTACAGTCTGAATATATTGTAAATATATTTTTCTATATATGAAAAGCGGCAATTCATTATGTATTATTCAATATATTGTACTATATAACACAACAAATATTCACACAATATAGTATTTCGGTTACACTTTATTTTAAGGTGTCCTTGTTACAGTGTTGCAATTATAGTTATATATTTAAGTACTGAACAAGGACACTGTAATATAAAGTCAAGTGTTACCATTATTTCATATATTTTTCAATATATTTACACCATATAATATATTGATCAATATATTTTCGTTCTGTAAGGGTGAATATTCAGAACAATAGCATCATTGTGAGTGTGATATAAACAAGAACTTACAGTAATATTAATTTTGGAGAAACAGCACTCTTTCTCATGTGATATTACTTAAATGAAGCACTGTAGTGTAAAGTGTGAGTTTCTCACTTGCGAATCTTCATGGCCTCTTCGTTGTCTGGGAGGAAGAATTCGTAACTCTTATAGGTGTGAACGGCATCCCTTCGGTACTGTCCAACGTTAAACACTGTTAAAATAGGTTCACATCAGTGACTGTTTAGTGCAAGAAATAATGCTCTATGATTTTATTTGGTCTACAGAGGCACATATTACATATATTGAGACTTATGTTCTTTAAAGACTACTGAATTTGGAAAACAATCAAACATTTTGCCAAAGTTGCCCAATTAACATTGAAAATGCCAAAAATGACCTCACTGTTACCAATAAAAATGTACAGAGTTCAACAGCCATCTACCAATATACCAGGCTGCAATGACCTGTATTGACCAATAAGTGTACAATAGAAAAATATTAGTGCCTAAATCTACCAATAGCCTTGACATTTTTTGTTTTTAAATATTATTGTTACAGTTTTTCTCGATTGCTTAAACACTATAACCAGGCTTTTGAACTAAAATTTTAAAACCATAATGCCATTTATCAAAAAGCACACCCATTTCACTGAACTATGAACACTATTCCCCTGTTTTGACACATTAGTCAGATTTGTTGAACTGTCACAGCAAAACTCTACACACAAATCCCTTCATTTCTCATTGCCTACACCACGTGGTCATTTAGAAAGCACTAACATTCAATATTGTTCACTCAAGTCAGCACAGCTTCAGCTCAGTTAGCACACAATTACCCAGGTGAAAACACTAAGAGTCAAAATTGAACACACATCAGTCAGATCCTTCAATACATAGATAAAAACTTATACAATCTTTTATAAAAGAGTTTTGGAACAATGGATCCACAGAGAAATTAAGCAATATGTCGAGGAGGGAGAGGAAGAGGAGGAAGAGGAGGATGAGGAGGAGGAGGAAAAGGAGGAGGAAGAGGAACAGGAGGAGTTAGAGGAAGAGGAGGAGGAATAGGAAGAGGAAGAGGAGGAGGAGAAGAAGAAGGAGGAGGAGGAGGAAGGGCAAGGGCAAGAAGACAAGCAGTCTCGGATGAAATTCAAGCCACTTTAGTTGGCCATGTCCTTGTCCATGGTGTGACTATATAAGGGAGGATGGGCAACGAGTACAGACAAACTTGAGTCGCTTCACCGTCGCCTCCATCATCAGAGCCTTCAGGGAGGTGTGGTGGCAAACAGATTTCTATCACTGAATAAGGGACAAACATTTCCAATTGTCTTTGATGAGGTTTATGTTCTTGCAAGAAAAGGCCAGCATTCGTACAGTCACACAGAGTGGCTGCAGAGTGTGACAGTGAAGGGAGGGCATCCTTTCTCCTTTATAGTCTTGACTCCCAGAATGTTATCTTTCTAGGCCAATGATGGTGTTTCAACCATATGTGGAACATTCTTAGACTTGTTCATCGTATTGTATCCATTATTGGCATGTACCAACACTCTTTACCATTCCAATACAATTCCAGATTTGAATAAGGTTTGTGTGTGCTCTTTTACTGCCATATGATGCTCACAGACATCTTACGTGAGAGTAGGAGAGAGTAAAAAAGCAAGCAACATGACTTACCAGTTTTGGAAATGTTGTTTTGAATTTATAGCACCAGTGTGTAAGACTATGTTGTAGTGTGTGTATTTTTGAGGGCTTGTGTGTGCTGTCTGAGGGCAAAGTTTGGTTTTTCAGCAAGAGTGAATGGTTTTGAGTGTAGAGCTTCATTTTGACCTGAAAATAGGATGTTTGGGGAATTGGGTGAGACGTTATGGGTTTGTGTTTACTGTTTTGAGAATACGAGGCATAGTTTCAAGAAATGTGTTTAAGCAATCGAGAAAAACTGTAATTTAGGCTTTGTTGATATGAAAGTGTTCAATTATTTTAAGCAATTTTGTGTCTCATTTGCCTTCTGAATTATATATAGCCATTTTTTTTATCCATTTACCAAATTGCACAAATAAATAATAGAACATTATTGTAGATATTGGCTTTGATATTCGCCATTATAAACACTATTTCAACATGCATGCAAGATTACAGTTTTTCTTCATTGCTAAATACACTATATCTGATTCATTTAGCCCAATTTCCCAAACCATTCATTCAGTTCTAGAACAAAAGACATATTTCACATGTTTTCACACACATTCCAATTTTCTCAATGTTTCTACATGTTTTGTCATGACGTTTCAAAGATCAGGTTTTTGTCCAACACAGCATGTAAAGGAGTATTGCTTTATTCACTTCTGTGAGAGGTATTGATTACAGTACTATGTTGCATTTCTTTTGTCAGGGTTGTCCCTGAAAACGTCAGTCGCCAGTCAGCATCAGTCAGTGTTGTGATTTCACAAAGTTCCAAATATTTATCTGAAAACTGTTTGGTAGCAGTGTTTTGAATTAATCCCTCCAGTGTGTAACAAACAGTTATGAAGTCTGTGTTTTTGACAGTTTGTGTGTATTGTCTGAGGGCAAAGTTTGAATTGGGATTCATAAGTTAGCTGTTTGTACTGTTGGGTGTGAGTTTTTAAAACTGTGTGAAGATTTGAGAAAATGGTGAGTTGTTCCCAGATTTGTGTCTAAGCAATTGAGAAAACTGTAAAAGGGCCAGAGTCAGTTCATTCAGTTTTGGAACAATGGATCCAGAGAGACTTGAAAGAAGAGGTCGAGGTCACCAGAGAGGAGGAAGAGCAGTAGGGAGTGGAGGAAGAGAGAGAGGAAGAAGAAGAGTAGGAGGAGGACAACAAAGAGCAAGGAGACAAGCAGTCTCAGATGAAGTTTGTGCCACTCTAGTTTACCATGTCCTTGTCCATGGTATGACTATGAGGGAGGTTGGGAAACGAGTACAGCCAAACTTGAATCGCTTCTCCTTCGCCTCGATCATAAGAACCTTCAGGAAGTAAGTGTACTTCAGACTGCTCTCTGCTGTAACTTTTGTGTGCTTGTACTCTGTGTTACAACACATACATTTACTGTAGCTGTTGCAGTATACTGCTGTAATAAAAAGAATCCAATAGGTATAGCTGAAAGTAAATCCAAGCTGGTAAATAGGGTCATTGCCAACAATGTATTCTGCCTGTGAGAGATTCAAAGGAGAGTGACTGAAGACAATCACCAATTTCGAGGGATAAATGCCACCAGCCTCTCCAAAATCGGACACTGCTGTTCTATCTTACCCCATACAGTGATACTATTGGATAGCACTGGGAAAACATGCCTATTCCAAATGGAAAGGCCTCTGAAACAGTTTCATTGGAACAGCTGTCCTGCCCTTGAACGAATTCAAGCAGTTCAGCACTGACTGAGTCCTACTCCATACAGAGAAAAGAGATCCTCTGCCCGAGGGAGAGTTTGCTCTTTTCCCAGTTGACCCGAAGCCCCAGATGGCTGAGGTGCCTGAGCCCCAGGTCCCTGTGTTCGCACAACTAATCTCGCAAGTGTGCCAGAATGAGCCAGTCATTGAGATAGTTGAGAATGTGAATATTCGCCTCCCTTAGAGGGGCAAGGGCAAGCCTCCGCGACATTTGAGAAGACGTGGGGCGACATGGACAGTCTGAAGGGGAGGACCTTGTACTGATATGCCCGTCCCTTGAACACAAAGCGTAGGAATTGTCTGTGTCGAGGGAGAATCGAGACATGAAATTACGCTTCCTTCAGGTCGATCGCTGCAAACCGATCTTGGGGGGCGAACGCATTTAAAAATGCGTCTCTGCATTAGCCTCTTGAACGGAAGATAGTGAAGGCTCGATTCAAAACACGTCGTATCCCAGCACCCTTTCTTGTAAAACCCTGACCTCATGTCAGCTAGAAGGACCAGCTCTATTGCGTCTTTTGCCAGTTGGACTGTGATCTCCACACGCAGGAGATTTGTGAGACAGAGTCCTTGTCTGCCACTGAGATAAACCGGACGCCGCTGAACCTGGGGGGACCCGGGCGAACTGAATCGCATAGCTGAGTCTGATCGAGTGAGCCAGCGAGATGGGCTGGGAAGCACTAGCCAGGCTCCCAGACACCACTTGAGAGAAATCAGTGGGACTACAGACGTACCCGCAGTGGGGCAGCACAGGGTCCTGACCCAGAAGGCATAGCTTCCGGGAGTGGGGGCCGAGTGTGCGGTGCAACACTTACCTGGCCGTCTTCCTGCAGGGGGGCTCGACGTCGCGGCTGAGCTGGCCATGCTGGAGCTTTTTTTTTTGTTTGCAGGGGAACAGACGCTCTTAGCAAAAGCAGACTTAGGGGCAGCGTGTAACGGCCTGTCAGCAGAGGTTGCGTTTGAGCAGGTTCTTGATTGTCTCAGCCTGCTTCTGGACTGCCAAGAACTGCTAGGCAGTGTCTTCGACAGCGTCGTCGAAAAGACCACCTTGCAAATGGGAGCATTAGACTTGCAGGGTGGCTAGGCGAAGCAAAATTAATTATATTATAATTAATATAATTTTTAAAATATATATATTTTTTAAATTGCAATTGCACACTCTAGCTGGGGAATTTCCAGAAATCCCTGACTACCCACCATCGAAGATAGTGAGAGAGCTATCGACATCTGATCCTCATCCAGAGCGGGACAACCCGTGCTTATGTGACAGCAATCGTGGCCATCAGATGAGGACAGGAAGCAACCGCATCCAGAAATGCATGGAGAGAGAGGCATCTTTAAAAAGACACTCGCTGTCCGCTTGCTCTTTTAGGGGAAAAAACGATCTCTTAGTTAGTGCTGAAGCGCACAGGGGAACAGTTGCTGTACAGGGTGCAAGACCAACTTCAGGAAATCTGCAGCACGCAAAATACTATTTTAGGAGAACTTCTATGTGTGCAGAGAAAGGTCTTTTAGAAGCGACCACCGCTGACGAGCCGTCACACACACACTCTCGGAAGAGCTTCTTCCTGGTTTGTTGTACACACTCGAACGATGATTGCTGAGCAGAATCGTGAGAAACGCTCGGCTCCAAAGCGAAAGCTTGAATGAGTGGTTAAAGCACCCGTCTCACGGGGAGTGGTTCACGATGCAAATCTCACTCGCCAATGTCCATTGGCTTGTTTTTTTTTTACCTCTCAAAGTTGATTGGGCGTATCGTCGAACGTGGCTGACTGAAAGGGAACCACAAGCAAAACAACTTATTACTCTTTTTTGATTGCTTGTGTGTAATGTCTGAGGGCAAAGTTAGCTTTTTCAGCAAAATTGAATGGTTTTGAGTGGAGAGCTTCATTTTGATCTGAAAATAGGACGTTTGGGGTATTAGGTGAGAAGTTAAGGATTTGTGTTTAGAGTTTTGAGAAAAGGAAGCATAATTTCAAGAAACGTGTTTAAGCAATCAAGAGCAAAACTGTAATGTGTGAGGTTTCAAAATGTTGTGCTTCTACCTGTTACTTTGATAAATTGAAATGTTTGTATAATATAATGTTTCCATGAATAATAATTCTCACCCTTGGTGGGAACGCCAATCCAGTTGAGGTAGCGTGTGAGTTTCTTAGAGATGTAGGTCTTTCCACGGGCAGGCAGACCAACCATCACAATCATGGTGGGAGAGTTGGTGAACTGCGGAACTGATGCTGAAACAACCACACACATTATGTCTAATTACAGTACAGTAAATGAATAAATCCCATGATAGTTTCATACACATTATATTAAACTAACATTTCATTTCAAACTGACACATCATTTGATATGGTTTTACAATGCATTTCTTTTACTGATCTCTAAGGAGACCGAAGCCATGTATACACTCCTACTCATTTCATTGTTAATTAGTGAAGTTATTCATTTTACTAAAGAAACATCTCATGTATCAGTCGTTTGTGTGTGTGTGTGTGTGTGAATGGCAATGAACTGGACTCCAGTGAGGTGAATAGCCCAGAGGACACAAACCATCATACACTGTCAAACTAAAACACACGCACACACACAAAAAAAAAAAACACACACACCACAAAACTGATTTTTATCACAATTACTCACATAACAAAAGTATTAGAAAAAGTATTAGGAAATATTCTCTGTATGATTTTATTTTAAAGCATTTTCACTATGCAATATGCTTTTTATGTCTATTACATACTAACTCTCACTTCTTACTTAGGCAGTCTCTTAAAAAGAGTTTATGGAGGTTTTATGAAAATTGGTCCAGTTTGCAAGATACTTGGTCCAGTTTGCTGTGTTGTGCTTGATGTTGTGTCAGCATAATGAATAAAAAAGATGTCCACTAACTAATAGTTTTATAACTGATGGCAAGAACAGAGAAATAGAGTCAAGGATGAGACAGAGTCAGGACAAGTCAAGTCACCTTTATCTATATAGCGCTTTTTACAATACAGATTGTTTCAAAGCAGCTTCACAGAGATAACAGGAAATGAATGCAACAAAGATTGAGAGAGATGTTTCTTTAGATGTCTGACTTACAGCCTCTTCTCTGTCTCAGTCTGCTGCTCATCCACGGCACCCAGATTTTCTCCAGAGGATTTTGTGTAAGTTCCATTTGTGAGCGATATGTATATTTATTCTGTGTAAGATATATACAGGTGTGTATGATAAATGCACAAAGTGACTAGTCAAACTGATGTCTTCTCTAATGTATGTGTAACCTTGTCCACTTTGAAGCAGATGTGTTTAAACTGGTGAACCCTGGTAGAGGAGGCGCATCAAGCACCTGATCACCACGTAACAGCCTATCAATATTCACTACAAAACAAGCATGATCTGAATATATTATGCAACTAATAATCATTCAAATAATTCCTCCTTTCCATCACCGAATCATGTAGGCCTGTGTGATAAAGAGATTGCTTTTGCATAGATTTAATTCAATTAAAATACACTCATGATAATATGCCTGTAATGGATTCATTATATTCTCATTAAAATACTTCCCTCATTGATTTATGTGGCCCTTGCTTATAGGTTATTTTAAAATCACTCAAAGTTTTGAACTTTAATATAAAACTTGGCATGAGTCCATACATATATGTTTTGTATTTAATGAACACAATTCCAATGCATTTCCATTATAATACATTTTAATGTTGTTGTCTGATGATGGTTATTTTATGAAATGTCATAAGGTGCATCCAACAAAAAAGGGCCATTTTGAGTTTTGGAGTTAATTTAGGAAAGTGCTCAAAGACCAGAAATTATAAAGATGCCTTAAAAAAACAACTTGAGAAACCCCATAGAAAGTCTAACTAGCTAGTCACAACTGTTTCCTGCATTCAATTATAGACACATTGATCTATAAATGAACATGCATCCCAGGACATTGTGTATACTGTCACAAATTTGTCGTTCCTACCACACAACTTTTCAATGCTGTTTGCGAGTGTTCGTTGGAACTATGTTTTTTTTCAAGAAACACCGATTTATTGAACTATGCTGACCACCCTGTTCCTCCCTCTCGACTGGGGATACAGGGGAGGACTCTGGGTTTGGGCTAAATTCCAAGCAAGGAGCTCTCGATCCCCTTGGAAAGCATGCCAAATACGCTTATTATATATATTTTTGGTAACGCTTTAGATTACAGCCCGGAAAGTACTGTGTAATTAAGAGGAATTTACAGAGTAACTTTCGGTAATTATATAAAGTACTTGCATGTAAGTATAAGGGAACAATATGTAAAGTTTGGGGAATAAAGGGGTAACAACCAGGAGAATTAAAAAAATATTTATACTGTAAGTATTATAGAACTAAGGGGTACTTATTCTACTATTATGATATAACAATCTTACATTTGGGAGCAATTTAGCGAGAACACTGCGTACCTTTTTGTAATAATTGTGTACCAATACATACTGTATAGGCTTTTTTTTTAAATTACAGGGTACATATCTATGCATTTATACTTTTATTTATTTATTTTTTGATAGCAAAAGTGCAGACGTTTAAGTTTGGGCTAACATGTTTCAAGGCAAGAAAAGCTAAGACTATTGCCATTTTTTTTAAATACTGGGAAATAAATCTTGTTTCATGTGGTTACAGGGTAAGTGGTACTTGTATAATAAATAAAGGTTTCCGAGTCAGTGATATAAGATTGTGTGTATGCATTTTTATTGTTACCCTGTAACTACATGGAACAAGAGGGTAACAAGCACCACTTTAATTTACAGCCCACAATGTCACACTTACCCTGTAATTACATCGAACAAGGGGGTAACAAGCTACATGAAACAAGAGGATCTTTCCACAATATTTAAGCAAAAGTTGCAATAGTTTTCGTTTTCAGTGCACTTTTGTTAAAAATATTACATTTTAAAAATTACAGGGTACGCAGTATATGTTCTTGCTAAATTGCTCCCAAATGTAAGATTGTTGTATCATAATAGTAGAATAAGTACCCCTTAGTTCTATAATACTTACAGTATAAATAATTTTTTAATTCTCCTGGTTGTTACCAGGGTTCTAAATTAACTTTTTTGATCACCAGCCAATGTGGCTGGTAACTTTCTAAAGTTACCAGCCATTTAGAATTTCCACTAGCCAATTTTTTTCCGGTGAAAATAAGAGAAATTATGAGTGCCACTGAATGCATTTGAGCATTTTATTAAAATTGTTGGCATGAAAAACACATATAAATGTACAATACAACACAGAAAGTGCAAACATTTCATTTCAAGTTTGGGATCTATCTATCTATCCATCTATCTATCTATCTATCTATCTATCTATCTATCTATCTATCTATCTATCTATCTATCTATCTATCTATCTATCTATCTATCTATCTATCTATCTATCTATCTATCTATTAGGTGTTACATGTGTGTCCTGAGTTTCCCCCCGTTCATTGTGTATTTGGTTTAGTCCTGTGTTCCAGTTTTCCCGCTCCTCGTTTCTGTTCAGTTCCTTCACCTGTGTCTAGTTAATTTGCCCCAGCTGTGCCTTGTTCCCCAATCTGTTCTCTGTGTATGTAAACCCAGTGTTCTCCCTCACTCCTTGTCGGTTATTGTCTATGTTACCAGTGTGTATACTTTGCCCTTCTGCCTGCCAGTATCTGTTTGTTGTTTTGATTTATTAGTAAAAGTGTCTGTCTTTGGAAATCCTAGTCTCCTCGTGCTTCCTGCCTACACCCAACCGTAACAGAATAATCGACCTAAAAGTAAAGAAAAAAGGGAAGATGGAGAGCTGGAAGCAGGCCTTTGTGGGAACCCGCCAAGCTGTGTTCCGTGGGACCCGTGGAGGCCGCAGTGGAGGCGGTGGTCGAGAGGAGTCCCGACACAACTCTCCACTCTGGCCTCTCTTCGATCCTGGGTTGGTGGTGTCCAGTTCAGCCAAGCCTTCGCCGCTGGTTCCATCCAGCACCAGGCCCTCTACACCGCTGGTTCCGTCCAGCACCAAGCCCTCTTCACCGCTGGTTACGTCCAGCACCAAGCCCTCTTCACCGCTGGTTCCGTCCAGCACCAGGCCCTCTTCACCGCTGGTTCCGTCCAGCACCAAGCCCTCTTCGCCACTGGTTCCATCCAGCACCAGGCCCTCTTCACCGCTGGTTCTGTCCAGCACCAAGCCCTCTTCACCGCTGGTTCTGTCCAGCACCAAGCCCTCTTCACCGCTGGTTCTGTCCAGCACCAAGCCCTCTTCACCGCTGGTTCTGTCCAGCACCAAGCCCTCTTCGCTGCTGGTTCCGTCCAGCACCAAGCCCTATTCGCCGCTGGTTCCGTCCAGCCCAGCCAAACCTGCACCGCTGGTTCTGTCCAGCCAATCCGAGCCAGAGCCCGCTGATCCTGCGCCGGAGCCCGCTGATCCTGCGCCGGAGCCCATTCATGCTGCACTTGAGTCTGCTCTGGAAGACACAGCGCTCATTGTGGTGTCCGTGGCTGTTTTGTGTGTGTGGGCAGCACACACATCAACTACAGCCCATGAACCCAGCCTAGAGCTTCCCCGCACGCCTGCCGAGCCAGAGCTTCCCCGCACGCCTGCCGAGCCAGAGCTTCCCCGCACGCCTGCCGAGCCAGAGCTTCCCTGCACGCCTGCCGAGCCAGAGCTTCCCTGCACGCCTGCCGAGCCAGAGCTTCCCTGCACGCCTGCCGAGCCAGAGCTTCCCTGCACGCCTGCCGAGCCAGAGCTTCCCTGCACGCCTGCCGAGCCAGAGCTTCCCTGCACGCCTGCCGAGCCAGAGCTTCCCTGCACGTCTGCCCACCCAGAGACTGTCCACGTCCCAGAGCCTGTCCCAGAGCCTGTGATTCCCCCCAAGAAAGTTTTGGGGGGGGGATATAGGCCACCTGAAGTGGCCTCTCCACCCTGGCCACCTGAAGTGGCCTCTCCACCCTGGCCCCCTGACCAGCTTGCTCCGCCCTGGCGACCGGAAGAGGCGTCTCCACCCTGGCCACCTGAAGGGGCGTCTCCGCCATGGCCCCCTGACCAGCTTGCTCCGCCAGGACCGCCCGAGGGGTGGTCTCCTACTCCGCCATGGCCCCCTGACCAGCCTGCTCCGCCCTGGAGGCTTCCTGCTCAGGGTAGGCCACGCCCTCGTCAGCCTCCAGGGCGCCCGCCCCCCCACCCCTATTGAAGTTATACGGCGCGAGGACGCGCCTTTTTGGAGGGGGCGTTATGTTACATGTGTGTCCTGAGTTTCCCCCCGTTCATTGTGTATTTGGTTTAGTCCTGTGTTCCAGTTTTCCCGCTCCTTGTTTCTGTTCAGTTCCTTCACCTGTGTCTAGTTAATTTGCCCCAGCTGTGCCTTGTTCCCCAATCTGTTCTCTGTGTATGTAAACCCAGTGTTCTCCCTCACTCCTTGTCGGTTATTGTCTATGTTACCAGTGTGTATACTTTGCCCTTCTGCCTGCCAGTATCTGTTTGTTGTTTTGATTTATTAGTAAAAGTGTCTGTCTTTGGAAATCCTAGTCTCCTCGTGCTTCCTGCCTACACCCAACCGTAACATTAGGGATGTGCACGAATATTCGAATTTTCGATCTGTAATTATTATTCAAAAAATAAAATACTATTAGAATTTTACTTTTTTTCTTTATTTTTTTTCCGCAGTTATAATTAAATGCACTGGGTGGAGCATTTAACAAGTGGATTGTATTTGATCACAAAATGTCATTGTCTGCCTCGCGAAGTTTGGAATTACTTGATTATCAAATAGCCTATTACAAAATGGAATTACGTTTAATCAATTATTAATTAATTAAACTGAGTTATCATAATATCACCGACACCACCACAATGAGAAATAACATGAAATCCAAAGAAACAGCAGTCGACTGAGGAAGACTGTGTCCATCACTGCATTAACCACTTCCTTTAAGTTTCGTTGAGGGATGCAGAAAACGCAAAGTGCTGTTACTTCACTTTGCACACACACACGTCTCTGCAACGTCTGTGTCAGCGCAGCGCGTTTTCTCACTCGAGCATGTGGATATTATTGTTTTTGTCAACATGAACGTGAAACAATATAAACACGATAATCATATGCTGACTCGAGTATGTAGCCTACATTCTGTGTTTTTTTGTGCGTTTTTTCCCCGTTTGCGCTGCTTGAGCTTAAATGCTTTTGTTGTTTATATATA